GGCGCCCCATAGCCCGACCGCCATAACGGCTGCGGGCTGCCTGACCGTCGAGCCACCCACATCGTCGCCTCGCCATCAGAGAATTACTACATTTTGGCGCTTCGGCCGGGCCGATGCATATTTCCGCGTCCCTGTCACAGAATTGGCGAACCGGTGCTTTTCGCAGTTTTTCCTAGCCTTTGTGCCATTCGATTTTAAGTAGGCGGATCGTTACATTGCGTTTCCTTGCTTCGGACGCTTTGACATTTCACTTCGTATTCATAATTGTTCGTATTTCGCTTCTTCGAGCGTTTTGGGTCTCAAACTCTTTCCAGGGCAGAAAATAAGCCCATTTGGTTTTTCACAACGTTCTTGCTATCGTGCTCGGTCAGTTTTTTTTTGGTCAGTAAATAAACGTCTGTTTTAAGGCTCGTGATCCTTCAGTTTTTTTAGGGCAGTAAATAAACGCAGTGTTTTAAGGCTCGTGATCCTTCAGTTTACCCACCTGCCCTGCAAGGAGTGGCCTTTCAAATACTCTGATCTTTTCCCTCTGTCTGGTCGCTCTGCTGTACACGTTTTCGGACTTTAAGAAATTTCAGTATATTGAGACATGCTGCCCTATAGACCCTTTCAGGCAACATTTCGTGGGCGCCGCCATCTTGACGTCACGTGACCCTGCCGCCATAGGCGAGCTTCAGTTTGTCGCCGTTGCTCTGCGTTGAGTGCTGCACCGGCCACCACCGGAGCTTTGCTTTTCGTGTTCCTTATCGTTTCGCGTTCACACCGTGTGTTTTCTTTAGGTCTTTTCATTCTTTCGGGCTTCCATTCAATCATTGGATATCTATATTTTAACATAGGTTTTGTATTTTCTTATTTATGGAATGGAATCGGACAGCGAATGGGTCGACGATACAGGATTATGGCCTAGGCTTCAGAGACCATGTAAGTTCATCACATTCGTTCGTTTTTGTCGCTAATAAAGGCACTCAACACCATTGCCACATATGCACGCTTGAGACATTGCTTCCGTAAGTAAAAGCCGAACCGCATGTAAGCGCCTTAGCGAGCGACGAGCGACGGCAACAACGACGAGAGTCTGAGACTAGCGACGGAGATCTTTCACTGACGCCCGTCGCGTCCCTCGGTTTTTCGATTTATAGAAATTGCCGCTCATCGCCTTGGTCGCTTTCTCCCGTCGCTTCCATGCGGTTTGTCTCGTCGCGAGACTGACCGAGCGAAAGCGAAGCGGGTCGCCGTGGCTTGTCTCGTTGCTCGCCAAATCACTTGCACGCAGTTTATACTTAAAATCGAGGCGCCAATGGTTCACTGCTGTGTGCATCGAAATTATTTACGAAAAAAGGGAATATAAGCGATTCGGCGAGCGACGAGACAAAGCGACGGCGACCCGCTTCGCTGTTGCCAGGTCAATCGCGTCACGAGGCATGGAAGCGACGGGAGAAAGCGGCCAAGGCGATGAGAGACATTTTCTAGAAATCCAAAAACCGAGTGACGCGACGGGCGATAGTGAGAAATCTTCGTCTCTGACTGTCGTCGTTGTCGCCGTCGTTGGTCTCGTCGCTAGCTAAATCGCTTACATGCGTTTCACCGTTTACTTACGGAAACGATGTCTAAAACGCGCACATGTAGCGGGAAGCACGACTGCGATAGCCTAACTGCGTCAGTTGAAATTTACACATGTAACAATGGTGTTGACTGCCCTTTATTAGCGACAAAAACGAATGAATGCGATAAACTTACATTGCCTCTGAAACCTGGGCCATAATCTTGTATCGTCGATTCATTCGCTGTCCGATTCCATTCCATAAAGAGGAAAATACAAGAGCTCTGTTGAAATATAGATACCAAATAATTAAATGAAAGCCCGGAATATCTAAACGACCTAAAGAAAACACAAGATTTCAACGCGCAACGTAAAAGAACACGAAAACAAAGCTCCAGCGGTGGCCGGCGGAGCACACAACGCGGAGCAAGTGTGACGAAGTGAAGGTCGGCTATGGCGGTCCGGAAGGCGCGCAGAGGGCGCGGCGACTGGTGACAGCTTGAGTAACTGTCTCCCTGAAAGCGTCTATGATACATTCACCCCTAAGCTGAAACTGCAGTGGGAACTACGTGCCTGCGAACCAATCAGCCGCCTTCCTTTCATCGAGTGACCCCCTACTCTGCGCCTGGGTATGAGCGAGAGCGTGACCACGTGGCGGAAGAGGGATGTATGACTGGTATATTGAGGACGCAGCTTCCACCGCAGTATCGCCTTAGGGGTCAATGAAATACAGTAAACGTTCAAGACGGCCGCCTAGCTTTGGCCTCCCGAGAAGTTGGCGTTTGCAAGACAGTCTCTGTCTTCATTGGCCCCCATCGCTTGGGATCCTGTACGACGAAGGACCAGCGCGCACCAGCACACGCCACGAAGCTTCATCAACAGCTACCTCTACGCGGAGGAGCGGGGATCCTCTCCGCTTCACGACGAGTGTTTCTGGCGAATCACAGTGCAGTGAAATACATTTTTTTCTCTTTCGGTGTCTTTTTGTAGAAAACGTTTTTATCATCAACGCTTGTGACCTCAACAGAGGCCGTTAAGCACACATCTTCCTGTGATGTGAGTAACTTTCCACGTATATGAACTTTTTAAAATATTATTTCTCTGACTGATAGCGAATTTGAAAAAGAAGTGTCGTGTTCTGATGTTTTTATTATAGTAGTCTCCCTGTAGCAATTGTTAAAAATATTATGCAAGGAAGAGCAGTCGTTTTTTTCTCTGCTTTAAGTCCTTGAAATTTAGTGAAAAAAGAAAGCAAGGGAGAATGTAATAAGAGACCTATTGCTATATTACCCAAAGCATCAAGGAGAATGCAGAGATTGGGGTTCCACGCACCACATGCGCACGCCTTCCCCGTATAAAAGATTTGAAGTAAATAACCAAAATAAAGCTTTGACGAACGCGCGTGCAAGAGGCCATCAGTTTTAGGTATTTGCTTTAGAAAAGTTACTACTGCAGACGCCAGCACCTGCAGCACGTGGAACACCAATCCCTGCATTCTCCTTGATGCTTTGGGTAATACAACAATAGGTCTATTGGCTTTTACGAGTTTGTTGTGCCGTCAGCTGGGGACACTATTTGTGCTATTATGAGCATAACCTCGAGTCCATGCTCGCGCCTGTCTTGCCATTCCTTTTCTTGAGTTCTATTATTCTGCTATATAACTAATTAAACCTAAACCCAAAGACTGGTTCACACATTTTCAACGCAGCGTTCTCATGAAACCGAAACGACGGTAACGACCAAAACACCGCAACAACCGCGACTCATGAATTTCTTCCTGAAGCTATTCCTTGCATCGCTTGCATTGCTGTGTACGGCGAACACCTGTCCCGGTGACTTCGTCGTTACGGTTGTTTCGGTTGCAAGTGAACGCAACCAACGCTGATATAAGAACCAGCCTTAATGTTTGATCACCAGTGTTTTGTCGCCGGAAGGGTCTGCCTGACCGTGAATCCGGGCAACTACTTGTCTCCCGTCAGACACCCCTTCACCTGACCGCTCTACCGGCCCTTTTTGGATGTCTCCTGCTGCCAAGGAGCAGCCTGATGGTTACACTACCAACATCGTTGCCTCGCTGTCGAAACATTGCTATAGGCAGGCTGGTCCAGAGCTTATCTGTGTGATGTTGGTGCTATACTCTTGGGTGCCTACTCTTATCGCTTGTATACCATCAAGTGAGCTGACAACTTCAGTGATCCACGATTGGCCGAAACTGCGCGCCCACACGGTCTGTCCCACACCAAATGGACTGCTGTGTCTCTCGTGCGGGGACGAGTTTGAATGCAGAGAGACAAAACCAGTCTGGCAACAAATGTTGTAGTCGAATAACAGTTTAGAGGAGTACTTTGTTTTGCTGACATTCTGTAGCAGCGGAACTTAAGGCCGCCACACACATTCAGCGGAGCGCTCAGTTAGCGATTCACGAGCGCTGGAAGCAGCGCTCAAGTAGGCACCAGCTTGCGCGTGAAGAAAATGGTTTCCCAGCGACAATAATATATGTTTCTCTTCAGCTGCTCGTATTGCAAAGTGACAGGGTTCCGAAAATATGCTCACCCCGTGTTAACAAGTTGTCCAAACGTTCTCGCAACATAACGGCGTGTTTAAAGTGGAAACAAAAAGAGCAGGGTGGACAAACACGAAGTGACCTGCGCGTCTGTCCGCGATCGTAGCAGCTGACCACAGGTACCGAAGAACAGAAGCATTTAGCGCCAGTTTATGACCCAGCTTGACCAGTGCCGATTGGTTTGTCTTTGGGCTCCAAATTCTCCTGAAGACTCCTGTACTTTAAAGCTCCCTCCGTGTCCTCGTCTCGTGCAGGGGACGAATTTTGAACTTTATTAGAACATATTTTTTCCCAAGGACACCAGACAAAACGCTTCCCCGCACATAAAGAAAACACATAGCAATACTAAAATGAAACATCACAGTTACATTAACAAAGTAAGTCCACACTGTTTTTTAATCAAACACTGAATGCCAGTGTGGTCGAAGACGAAGTTGTTAAGCAATGTGTACAAGTTACGAAGAAAGGATTGAGGCGCATAATTAGAACGGCAGTGGGTAACGGGAACTGGTACAGAAATTCGCAATATCCGCCTGATGCCGCGTTCCCGCCGGTGAGTAAATATGGGCGGGCTCTAAACATCCCGATACATGATTTGCGGACCCCCAAAACAACACTATTTCTTAAGGGGGGGGGGGGGGGGGCGAGGAGCGTGAAAACATAGTTCTTCAGAGCAAATTGCCTTTCTTACTGCAATTTTACTCCCGCGGATAGCGCGAACACTGCACTGCATTTAAAGTGTGCGAAGCACCACCTTGTTCTGAGCGTTTGTACCACTTCCGCACTCTCAAGCATCGTACGCAGTTTCTCCGTTCACATGACTAAAATCAGTCATTGTAAATAGCCGGGCTACAAACTGTTTATTCTCTTTCTCTCAAAATAGTGCAAATGACTGTTTTACGTTTCATCACTATCGATCTCGCTATCCCTTGGAGGTTCGGTAAATTCTTCCGAATTTACATCCTTCTCTTCGGTTTCTTCGCTGCCTTCCTCTTGAACCTCACTGGCCTCCCCGAAGACGTCGTCTACGCTTTCAGATGGGTCATCCTCTTCCTCTTCGGAGGACTCAACCGTGCTTTCCGGAAATTCGCCGTCGCTGCTAAAAGATCCTTCGTCGTCTTCTGACTGTGGCTCGGAGCTTTCCTCTAACTCATCACTCTCGTGTTCGCTGTCCGAACTTCCTTCGTCGGCTTCTGAGCTTATAATATCGGAGGAACTGTCACTATCATCCGCGTCTAGTCTTGCATGAAAGTCTCTCTTTTGTACTGCCAAAGGTGGAACGCTTCTCTTGCCATCAGTGCGCGCCTCCTTTAATGAAGATAAACTTTGAAAAGAACCACTGTTATTTTTCTCTTCCAGCTGTCCAAGGTGCGGCGACTGGAACGACTTCGTGTTCGGCCCCGTCTACGGAAATAATGGAAGTTATGTTACAACATGTTTCGTTCGCTGCGATGAGCTGTGGCTTGACCTTATTTATCGAAACAATGTTAGGTTTATAAAGACGATTATGACTGCCATGCATAGCGTTAAATTACTTAGAAACAACGTATACATTTATATTGTTTGTTTATATTGCAACTCTCCACATACGTCTTTTCTGTTCTCATTTCTCATTAATTGATCATTCGGTACTTGATTTTCACATACCAAAAAAAAAACGCGAAAATATATTTGCAAACGCGGCACTGTGATAATTTTAACGTCCGTTAATCCTGCGAAGGGATATCGCCTAGTATTCGCCTCAACGCCCTTGAATGCAACAGGCCACAATAATTGAATATGTTTACTATGTGGTTGCACGACAGTTCATACAGTGATCCTCCGAGTCATGTTTTTGTTTTATTTTATGTAAAAAATATGTGTATAAACAAAGATCTTGGGAGGAAAATGCAGCTATTTCTGATGCCGTAGCCTTTTTTTCCCCAGATTGTAAAATTAAGAATTTCGGCCGTGGACATTGTCAAGGTTTCACTATGGTACCTTTCACAGCTGCCATTTTTATACCGAGGATTGCATATAGTGATTATTTATTTTAATAATTTTATGAAGTGTTTATACATGTTCGGTGAGTAATAAATATTCCGATAAAATATTTTATGAAAAAGAAGCTACACAACAATCATGTAAATACATTTTAAAGGCTAATTTGCGACTTTCATACCAAAAACAAAATTAATATAAAACGTATCAAAATATGTAAAATGCGACTTTTCAAATGTCTTTTTTTTAATATATAAAACAATCTGCTCATGTGTTATGGCAGCTATGTTATAAATTCAGAAATACAGCACATCTATTTTTTCAAATGTGACAAAATTGCACGTCAATGCTTACGAAATATCTATGCATATATTTTTAATTATTTTAAACTTTCCGCTCAAAGTGAGTTGAGCTAACTGGTGAGGACAAAACATTGAAGAACGTATGAGCTCTTGTGACTGCGTCACACTAGAGCAACAAACAGCAACAAACGACACGACAGCAACACCCAACAACGAGCGACAGCCGAAACCGACAGACAGCCCGATTGTCGGAGTTGGTCGTCCCACCTGGCGGACACGACGTGGAATACGGGGAGAAGGAAACTTATTTCCTAGTGGGACTAGAGTTGTCAACAAAACACGTCAAAATGCAAGGACAAACAGAGTCTGGAAACGCGCTTTGTGTTTTGCTCTTTGGTCGTAAGACAAACCAACAAACAAAGTGAATGTGCAGACGATTAGTTTATTTCTTAATTAAAGCTTCCGCTTGTCTGCATTTGCCGTTGGCGACTTTCCGCAAATAGTTGTGACAATCGACACCAAATTATTTTCGAACTAGAGTTCCCGAATCGTTTATTTCCTTGGTCGTTCGAGGCATTCTAGGCGAGCTCCAAGGAATTTTACGCCGATTTTGAAGATACTTATAACTTCATATTCGAATAATCGAGGGAAGTCGTGTTTTGGGGACAGTACGGCATCCCGATTATCACAGAGCGTCTAGAAAAGTCTCTTGTCTGCCGGAATGGCTTGCCGCGGAATGTCGTTCCCTACTTCGTGGTGAGCGGCCTTACTTTGGTCAGTCCTCAAACATATGGTTGTATCCAACCTGATGCAGGGGCGTAGACCTCGGTGTCTTGAAGCACCACCTCGTGCATCAAGTTTTCGTGAGCAAAACCGGCCACAGCAAATTCCAGCGGGAGCGGCCAGGGGGCGCGGGCAGCAAGCAAGCCGCGCCCATGACCACTACCAGCAACCGAGGGTCGGGAACTGCGGGAATGATCAGTGGCCGCCAAGTATTCTCTGAGGGTGGAGCGGCGGAGCGAGCCACGGGAGAACCGGCAGGAAGGGTTGAAAAGAGGGAAGAGAAGCAACCGATGGAACAAGCAACAGATGGTACAAAAAGTTAGGGCGGAAACAAGCTGGTGAAGGTTTAACATTTTGGACAAAACCCTGAGACTGGGGGCGGGGAAAGGACAACACAACACAATGTCTAGGTGAGCTTTGTGTTGTGTTGTCCTTTTCCCCACCCCTCGTCTCGGGGTTTGGTCCAAGATGTTCCTCGGTGGAAATGCTTGCTGCGCTTCAAGTCCAACGATTGACAAAACCTGTTCGTCGTCGATCGTTTGTCGGCGCTTGTCGGTGTTTGTCGCGGGTGTTGGTGGTAATACCCGTGTCTCACTAGAGAAACAGACAGAAACAAGTGACAGCGACAAGCCTTACACCAGAGCTTCCCACGATTTGAGAGGCTTTGTAGAATAAAGGAGGCTATGCTCAAACACCAGCATCATGCACGCGAGGGTATCTTTGGCAGACTTGCAATCGCTAGTGCTTAGTTCACAAGCACTGAACGACTAAACACCTTCCAAAGGTACCATCGCGAGCATGCTGCATGGGTTTGAGGCTTGTCGGTGTCTTTTTTTTCTGTCTGTCGTTCTAGTGGGACACGGGCATAACAGTGGGAATGCATCTGCGACACGGAAGTTCTTGGTGTCGCCGGAAAAAAATATCGGTATTTTTCGCTCCAGTGGGACGAGACTATGATAAAGACAAGCGACAGCAAATCTTCTTTTCAATTGAGCTATAGTCGGTCACAGGTTAAGAGCAAAGTGGAAGCTCGTCCTACCACTTTCTACTTCAGCAGAGCGAACGCTAGAGAGGAGGTAGCCTTATACTCTGCCAAAGGAAAGAGAGGTGAGAGGAGCTTCCTCTTCAGTCTTAACTTGTCACCACCTATAGCCTTGGTTCATAACACAAGACATTCTACAAGATTTCTCCATATGCTGGCAGGAACTGAGGGAGCGGAGGAAACAAAAGTACGATGGAACGCCGGCGCGTTTAGCATTCTGAAGTCCTGTATATCCTCCGTCGTAATGACAACGAGCGCACGCGGTCGCTCACGCTCGCTGACGTTGTCCGCGAACGTGATGTCTATACACCAAGGTCAAGTTGAACGCGGCGCAGCTCGTCGCGCGACAGCGTAGCTTGCGACGAACTTGGACATGCTCTGCGTTCAACGTCGGACGGCGACGGCGCCGACGGAGGCTATCCCAGCAGCCCTCGTGCGAATGCGTGCCGCGAGCCAAAAAGCAAAATCGCAAAATGGTGCAAGGCGCGAGTGATATTAAAACCGATAAAACGGAAAGGCTTATCGAGGCGATCGGAGATCGGCGGTCTATTATGGCGCACCGTGCATTCACGAAGACGCCCACCAAACCATTCTGCCATCTTGGCCGCGAGGCAGCTGCCTCGCCCCAGACACGATCACATGGTCGTGTCGCCGCGGGGTCGATCGGAATCCGAAATCGGCTACCGACGTGCCGCTTTCTCTCCTAGCCACTGGATGGCGCTGCAGGCGCCTCGTGGCCGGCGAGGAGAAACCTCCTCGCCCATCGATCATCGATATATACTCGGTGGGCCATGGGGAGAAAGGAGCTCTTAAAACTTCGGACGAGACCGAGACGCAGGCTAGGTGGGTGGCGACCGGATCTAGGATATCGCGAGACACGAGGCATGGGGGCCTTTGTGTTTAGCTTTTGGCTTAACGTGCGTTTGTAAATATGTGTGTAATATCGCGTGTATTTGTAGTTTAGATTAAGTGTTTTGTAGCATTCTGTTTTATTGTACCAATAAACGGGGAGCGGAATCCCGCTCCCGTGAAAGAACCAGGCTGGACTCGGGTTGTTGACGGACCACGTGGGAAACGGCGAATCAGCGGCATTACGCGAATTCCTACACTATTAATGACATGGGCTCGATAGAGCACAGCAACACAACTTGGAAAGAAACCGCCCTGGAAGCCGTCAGAGTCATCTGCGGTTTCAAGACCACTGAGTGCTGTTTCCCTCGGGCCAGAAAACGACGGAGTGCATTGATGTGATTTTCGAGCGGCAGAGTGCGCAGATATCTACAAAATGAGTAGAGAACAGCACAAAAAAGCATGACAGGGTCGGGACACTTTCTTGCCGTCTCTTTCTTTGAGCATGTCCACGTGCACGTTGATTTTGCCGAGCACACGACTGACACGACCGCCACCCACGATCGCCAGTGGGTGGCGCAGACGCGGAGGAGCGCCACTGGGAAAGCGCTGTGCGCATGTGCGAAATGGAGAAGCGAATCGGAGCAGCATAGCCACCACCAAGCGAGCGGGTTCTTATCGCAGCGCGGCGCAACGTTGTGGTCGACGGACGTCTCGTTGTTCCTGCAAACGTTCATTTTGCCTACGTCGGAGTATACAGCCCTTAAGGGCTCTAATGCTCCGACGTTGAGCGTAGCAAACAAGCGCAGTACAGCCCAAACAGATACTGATTGGTCGCAGATATCCAGCTCCTGGTCGCTGGCCAGTGAAAGGTGCATGTTCTTTGCTACGCTGCGTTTGCTGCGCTTAACGTCGGTCTATAACAGAGCCTTAACGCATTCGATGAGTTCAGTGAAGCTTTGCCTCTGGCCCTACCCACTAATCGCTCCAGTCAGAGCTTGGCTTTCTGGCGCCTCCCCCCCCCCCCCCCCCCCTCCCTCCCGCGCTCCCGCTTCTTCTCCCCCCTCAGTGCCTACCTGCTTAACGAAGACAAGATTGTTCAGAACTGACAAAGACTGTTCAGCAGTGCTCCTCTATCGGGGAATGCGGAATGTCGATGTGTCGCTAGCTTGGTTTTATCTTTGTGTTTGCTTGCATTACTCACGAGACGTCGTGTCGGCGGACGCAACTCCTGCTAAGCAAACTGTATGCACAGCTCATCACCGTGAAACCCAAAGTCCGTGCTTGTCATCCATGCCGCCAGCCATGCGCCTCTTCTATGGTGGTTAACTTTAGAGCAATACCGAGCCTCCCGCTTTCCAAATCTTTTAAGAATTTACTCATTCAGTGGTTTTTGATAACGCGCAGCTATTTGTTGTTCGTATTATATCATAAATATAACTGAGTAA